CATACTTACATACATACATACATACATACATACAGACATATTTCTGAAAGGCTGAAACACTTTTCCTGGGAGACATGTTACTGGCACCAATAACAGCTAAATCCTGATGAAGTTTTATTTACAACCTCATGTGCGGTCTATAGTTTGAGTGACTGGGAGGGAATTTTCTGGGCAGGGGTGATCGGGTAGCTCTCCAGCACTAACCAATTGTTCCCTCCAGCTTTTGAAATTCAAAGAAAATTGGCTCTTGGCAGATTTAATTTTATTTATTTATTAGATTTTTATCCCGCCTTTCTAGACAATGTCTATTCTGTTCCATCCCTCTCTTTTGTTGATTGGCAGCAGTTGCTTGCTGTTGATCTGTTCAGTTGGTTGCTAGTATGTGTGCAGTAAAAAAGCAGTATACAAAAGTGTCTAATTTACTGTAAGTAAAGAAACATTTTTATTATTTCTCCAACTAATGTCTCAGAGTGAGTTGTTGAGATTTTAAATACCAGTTAATGAGAAAGGGTTGGTTCATCTGGGGAAACTTTCAGCTATTTCCCCCTTTGGATCTCTGTACTTCTACTGTGTAGCAAAAAGGAATTTTACTAAAAATTTAAATCTCTGAAACAAAATCAAGTTACAATATTGTAGTATTTTTTGGTCTCATGTGATTACCTTTAATCCCATCCACCACTACAGCATGGTGTGCCAAAAGATCTCTGGAATGTCATTTGTTCTTGGGCGGGGAGTTCCCCACCTTCGCTTTAGATAAAATGTGTGATTTTTTAACTGCGTATACCAGATTAGCATGCAAATACGTTGATATGTGCATATCCCTAAGAGAGGAATGGGCACAGAGGAAAGACACAGGGAAAAAAAGAGACCCAGATAAATCTTTAAATATAATGAGGTTACTATTTTAATCTCTACCTTGCTTAGTAAGCAGACAGTCGGCTGCCGCAGGTTGTTGGCTACTCCAGACTCAAATTTCTTCAACCATACCCAGTCTCCCTGTCCAGAAAAAGGGTAAGAGAGGGAGTTAGAAAAGGCATAGGCTAGGAGGTCTAGAGCCGTGGCTTAAAAAAATTCACGGTGTAGGAATCCAAGTCAAAACAGATCTGACAGATAAAATAGAAGTAGACACAACCATGGCTTAAAAAAATTCACAGTGTAGGAATCCAGGTCAAAACAGATCTGACAGATGGTGGTCCAATTGTCTCTTGAAGGCCTCCAGCGTTGGAGAGCTCACCACCTCTCGAGGTCATGGGTTCCACCGTCGTACTGCTCTAACAATCATACATCCTGACATGGAGTTTAGATTTTTGATTTAGTGCAGAAGTTCCCAGCCTTGGGTCCCCAGATGCTCTCGAACCAAACTTCTCAGAAGCCTTCACGACTATCTTTGCTGTCCAGAATTTCTAAGATTGGCAGTCCGAGAACCTCCCAAGGTTGGGAACCACTGATTGAGTGTATTGGTAACAACAACAACAACAACAACAACAACAACAACAACAACAACAACAACAACAACAGCAGCCGCCTCTGCCTTCTGTATCGGTTGGAGGATACCCAAACTCAGCATTCGGCCACGGGTTTGAGGGTGTGGACTACAGACTGTTTGAAGAGGAGACTTTAGTCACTTTAGCCAGTGATACACAATTTGGTCTTCTCTTCCTCTCTCTTGCAGCATCTGAAATGATCTCCAGGGCCATTCATACGAGGCGTCCTACCCAGTGTCCGACCTCTGACTGACAAGGCGCCCTGAGCTTCAAGCAGAACAGAGGCAGACTCTAATTCAGATATGGGCGTTTATCACATTTCTGTGATCGAGCTCAAGGCAAGCATGCTCAAGAAAATGTCTCAAGAGGTTTTGGCATTTATTTTACTTTTTCGCTGGCATTCTTAAACAGGGGCTGGAGGATGGTCAAAGAGAAGCAAGAAGGACAGGTGCTTCTTAATATGGGATGGGATATCAAGACATTTTGAAACCACCGGCTGAGAGGAGGATGGTTCTTCCGAGCCTTTTTTAATCGGGTTTCCCTTACCTCATACACAGCAACGTTAGAGGTTTCGTGGGTCACCAATGCACTCCTCACGGACAGAGAATGAGTCGCAGATCGCAAGCTGCGGCACTCCGAGTTGCTTCTGGAATCACTCCAGTTATCCAGGGCCAACCTCTGTGAAAGCCAAAACGCAGCCAGCCGTTATTCAGTGAAGGCCTCCTTCTTACCCCCAGCCTTACCACTGTCATTCATTGATGGCCGCGTTTCCTATCTTTGAGTCCCCCTGGACTGCGACGCCCAGACATCTTCACCGCTAGCTGTGCTGGCCTGGATGTCTGGGAGTTGTAGTTCAACCTGGGGACCCAAGCTTGAGGTCCACTGATCTATGGCATGGAGGCCATGGTGGGCCCAGGTGGCTTCTAAACATTTCTTCCGACTCAAGATGCCACTCTTCCCAGCCTTCCTTCTCATACAACATGGGCACTCTCTTGCTCGTTGGTCTCACTGAGAGTCCTCCCTGGGTCCGCGTGGCACCTCCTGCCACAAAGGGCAAGCCACGAGAGGTGAAGGAACACATCTGCTTATGAACAAGGGCTCCGTGTTCCCTCGACAACAGAGGAAGACATCAAAGTACATCCTCCAATATACCATTAAAAGGAAAGAAAGACTGTTGTGAGGAAACCTCGCCTGTCCACATTGACATCTGTATAATGCAAAGGTCGTGTCCAGAGGAAATGAGCTAAAGCAGAGGTGGACAAGCTAATATGGGATCTGGAGGCTAATTCCTCCACCCCTATAGGGCTGCCGTTGCCATAATCCTTGACAAATGTGTTTTTCTGCTTGATTGAGTGTATCGGTAACAACAGGACTAAACCTTGTGCCTTGTTTCCTATGAGAATGGCCCACTCCTGGATGCTTCAAGGGCTACCAGTGGTCTATTTTTGGTGGAAATATTTTGTTTTGAGGAAGATGCTGGGAGGGGCCTTGAGGCTTCCTGCTCCGCATGGACCAAAACAAGGATCCCCTTAAATGGAGAATTAGCTTAGAAATTCTGTAATTCTCTTAGAAGGATCCCTGATGGGCTAGGACTAGTTATATGACTAATATGCAATGCACTGTTGTCACTGTTTGGTTGGGCTTCATGTGTTGCTTAGTCAAATTACAGCACGTAGCTAAGATTGCCTCTATTGCATGGTGACATCATCACATCCACTATGTGATCCCTGATAGGCTATGGGAAGGAATGAAAGGGAAGAGCGAATCACCCCTCCAAAAAAAGAAGTCTTGGGAAGGGTTGTCTAGCTGAAATAACTGCTTAAGAAAGGAGAGAAACTAAAACTACAGGACATGAAATTCTGCACCAATCTCAAGATGAATTTCTAGTCCATCCTACATGAACTTTTTAACGAACTTCCCTTGAAACTTTTCTGAGAGTTTACAGACTTGAAGAGCAGGTCCTACATTTAATTCACATTTAGTTTAGGCTAAAATGTCCATATCAAATGCAGCCATGAAGTCAGGCTTACCATTTGAATGTTATCATTGTTGATCATTTGGAAATGATCAACTAGACAGAGGGGAAATGGAACTCATTGTTATCTTGTCAACAGCAGCTAGACTGATATTTGCAAGGAATTGGAAAAATGATAAATGATGTTGGTTGAATGGTGTAATGAGATGTGGAATCTAACTATTAACAATAAATTAACTTGTGAATTGAAAGTCAGAAAAAGATTATTGAAAGAAAATAGTTTTAATGGGATTTAGAACACTTAGATAGAATACGTACGTATTTAAAAAACATAAAGACTATACCCCAACACAAGAATCATATTTACATTTATATTCCTGTTGGTGGTGTGTTACCCTGTATATTTGAGTTATGCTTCTATTAGTCATTTATAGTTTTGTTATAATTTGTTATATTAATTTTAATTTTTTTAAAAAAAGATTACCTACCATTTTGCTTAGTTTAGTGTTGACGAAAGTGAGGTCATCCAGAGTCAACAGTACCTTCTTAGACCCTTTGAGAACTTGGTGATAGAGGGCACGGTGCCTAGGGGAAAAATCTCCATCACAAAATGCAACAATTTATATACAATAGGACCCCTGTATCCGCGGGGGATAGGCTCCAAGCCCTCCTGCATGCACACTGGGGGTGTGTGCATGCACATTGCGGGCTGAGTTGCAGCAGCAACAACCACAGACAGCGAGAGGCAGGAGGAGGGCTGGGTTGGGCTGGGTTGCGGATAACGGTTCAGTGGATACGGGGGTCCTACTGCATGGGTTATAAATTATACCTAATCACATACGTTTCCAGGGAATTCTTGGCAGGATCCTTCTAGCATGCAGCTGGTCTAATCTAGTACAGTAATGGAATCCTTGGGGGAAATATTACAGGGTTCAAGATGCTTTGGGAAACGACCACGCATGCAAATATTGTGTCAGCTTGCGCATTGTGCATTCAAAAGAAAATAACGTCAGCCAGAGGGACCATCCCATTCTTGGAGCATTTCCCATGTTATTTGTCAATGTCATCACACCACAACAGTGCAGGGCCTCAGCTTGGAAATGCAAATGTTTACTGACATAAACATGAGCTACCAACACGCAACTACTGCATAGAAATTCCAACTAAAGTCAAGGTTACCTAGTTGTTATAAGAACCCATTTTTTTCCAAAGTAATGCTCTGGGGTCCCTTAGCCTTGGGCTGCGCCATGTTTTAATCCCGGGATGAAGGAAGTACAGTGTATTTCTTCTGTGGCTAAAGAGCTTGCGAGGAGAATCTGCCCTGCGCGGGGTTCAAGCAGAAGATCTTCCGCCGGCTTCCTCCATCTTTCCATCCATGGACAGTTGAAAGAATTAACCTCCCGTTCATTAGAAGGCCCCTTGGCTTCTCTCCCCAGAGTACCTAATTTGCATTGTATTGATTTCGGGAGCCAACTTCTTTCTCCTCTCCGTTGGCCGGGACCACCCCAGCTCTGGAGGAGCGGAGATCGCTGCCGGGCCAAGATACAGCAGCTGTAACAACAACCGCCCTCTTCCCACTCTGTTGCTGAAGTATCTCTGGGGATGGCTGGATGAGGGGAGGAAAACATGCAATACCATCTTCCTCAGCATGGGCTGTTAAGTCAGTTCTGACTTATAGCGATTCAGGGTTTTTTGGGTCCAGAGTACTCAGCCACCCATTCTTCTGGGGGTGCCCTGAGACTTATGTGCAGCTGGCCCAAGACCACCCAAGACTTATGTGCAGCTGGCCCAAGACCACCCAGGCTGGCTTTTCTCCCAGGGAGACATAGCGGGGGAATTGAACTCCCAACCTTTGGCTCAGCAGCCAAAGACTTAACCCCACTGAGCTATCCAGCTATCCTATAAACCAAAACAGAGGCCAGGAGATGTTTACATGCCCTTAAAAGTCAATCCATTACATATTTCAACCAGAGCTTGGAAATTTTGACATGGCACTGAGCTTTCCAGCTATCCTATAAACCAACACAGAGGCCAGGAGATGTTTGCATGCCCTTAAAAGTCAATCCATTACATAGTTCAACCAGAGCTTGGAAATTTTGACATGGCAACTCCAAGGATCTCCCAGCTGGCAAGGGCCGATTCTTACTAGGTCTTCTTAGGCACCCTTCAGTCTCGAGAGACTATGGTAACGTGCTCCATATGGAGGACTTGGAACAACCTCTAGTGTGGCTGAGAAGGCCAATTCAAGAATGACAATCCCTTCCATACTGGAGATAAATACAATCTGTCCCCTGTCCAGCTCCCTGATATTGCTGCTTTCAGGACTGCCTCTCGGCCTCGGCCTGCTGGACAAGGGTCTCTTCAAATTGGGAGAGGCCAGGATGCACCGTCTGCCTCCAGGCTGAATGCTCAGAGGTCAAGGTTTCCCATCTGTTGCGGTCCATTCCTAAGGCCTTCAGATCCTGCTTGCAGATCTCCTTGTATTGCAGCTGTGGTCTCCCTCTGGGGCGCTTTCCCTGCACTCATTCTCCATACAGGAGATCCTTTGGAATCCGACCATCAGCCATTCAACCCTAACCCTAACCCTAACCTTACATTTCCAAGTTCTGCTTTACTGGTGTTCTTCCATTCACTCACACAGAATAATAATCCAGACAGGAGGTTGCCTGACGTGTCTCTGCATGATCTACCTACCAAAAAGCCTCTCGTGGAAATGGGGTAATTTGCTTAACACATTTATGTTGCATGAGTGGGGTTCCTTCTCCTCCCATCCCTGAGTTTTAAGATCATCTGGAGAGGCCTTCCTCTCAGTCCTGCCACCTTCACAGGTACGTTTGGTGGGGACAGTGGAAAGCGCCTTCTTTGTGGCTGCTCCTTTAGACTGTGGAACTCCCTCCCACTGGAGGCCAGTGCAGGCAAGGACCTTTCTCTTCTTGCAAGCCTTCCCCTCAGTGACTGGCTGTTTGAGAGAGGTTTTTAAACAGTTTGTTGTGCTTTGTTGCTTTGAAACTGTTTTGCTGTTGATGTGATTTACCATTTTAATTCAGTATTTCTTTTATTCTTTTAAAAATATTTGCATACTTATTATTTTTAGCTTTTAAATATTGTCTTTTAATGATGTAAGTCATCTTGGGTCCTTTTTTTAGAGGAGAAAGTCAGGATAAAAATATTTTAAATAAAATAAAATAATTTAAATCAAGAGTGTGCCATTATCTCCCATCATCCACCAGGCTTGGTTACACTTGCTAAGGCTGATGGGAGTTGTAGTCCAGCAGCTAGGCACAAGCTTCTCGTCTCTAAGTGTTTAGGACAAGAATAATTGTTTACCCCTCAGGTCTTCGCTCACATTAGTGTTAAGAACAGAGCATTATTCTCATTTAATTTGCTCAGCAGGGAAATCGGCATATTCTTGTCATAGCCTGAATCATCCAGAGGATTCTGAACACCTGGCATATGATGATTGCTGTAGGCCTAGTGCTTCATTAGTACAATTTATTTCTTGAGCTTAGCCATCATTAACTAATTAGTCACCCCCTCCCGCTAATTTTCCCAGTGTAAGTGCAAAGCTATATAAATGTTAGGCTTGTTGTTGTTTAGTTGTTTAGTCGTGTCCGGACTCTTCGTGACCCCATGGACCAGAACACACCAGGCTCTCCTATCTTCCACTGCCTCCCGGAGTTGGGTCAAATTCATGTTGGTTGCTTCAATGACACTGTCCAACCATCTCGTCCTCTGTCATCCCCTTCTCCTCTTGCCTTCACACTTTCCCAACATCAGGGTCTTTTGCAGGGAGTCTTCTCTTCTCAAGAGATGGCCAAAGGATCTACATCCTTCAGTGTCTACATGGTCAGCTTTAAAGCTGTGCAGTTCTTCTGTAGACATGATTTTGTCTTAATATTCAAAAGCAACCCTCTTTTTGTATTTTCTGGTTTTTGCATGCTGATTCAATGGATGAATAGTAGAATGCCCCCTTGTCGGACGCCTGTGCCTATGGGAGACCATTCTGCCTTTCCATATTCTCTCCCAACCGTTGCTTCCACAATACCTGTTACGCATCAGGACAATTAAGTGCCGAAGTACACCCATTCCTTTGAGAACAACCCATAGTTTCTCATGATTCACAGCCCAACTTCTGCAAGGGCACGGAGCTTACCCCCGGGGGTCGCAGGCCACACAAACTGAGGCCGTCACGCTTCCACCACATCACAAAAGAAGAGTCTCTAGGAAAGACAACGGTTTTGTGGGGGGGGGACGTTGGAGGTGTCAGGAAAAGAATTGGCTGGGAGATGGATGAACTCAAGCTTTAAGTTTTCAATGGCCTGAGCAAAGCCACGAATTGACCAAAGTTGCCAGAAGTCCGAAGCAACTGGATGGCGTACACAAAAACAAGCCAACATCACTTGAATTGTGTGACTGTTCTCCTCTTCTTTCTTTGCAACTTGCCCCAAGGCCTCGCTGGCATAGATCCATGTTTTTCTCTTTTCCCAGATGGCACACAATCCTCTGGATCTCACAGATATGGTGGGGCAGGGAAATGCTGGACATCTACTTTGGCCATGCCCTGCCCACTAAGGAGGTGGTACAAGCCCTCATGAAATGTGCTTGTTTGGACTGCAGCATCCAGCTGGCTGGCGGACTGTGGGAGCTGTTAGCCGTGTATGTCATTTTTCTCGACTCTTTTCAAGTGTTATGGCCTTCACGCCATAACACTTGAAAAGTGTCCCGTCTTATACTGATCCCGTCTTATAT